CTAAACAGACTTCCAGTGCATTAGCAGAGAGTACTGATTAAATTACCGCTTGTCCTTTACATGTATGCAGCGCAGCAGCACAAGTGTGAGAACGATGGACATCGAATCAAGACGCGAATGCCTTCCGTGTAACGGGGTAGCCCATTCAATGATATTAACACCAAACGGTGTCAATAGGGATGTTGTCTAGCATAACAATATCCTACTAATATTATTCGAGATGGATCAATTTGAAGAAATGTTATTCCCTTTTGGATAATATTCATGCGCTGCTCAAAGATTGGTTGATAAAGACATATCAACCAAGGTTACCACCAATCGCTGCTAGACGTGCGCAATGAGTGGTGAGCAGGTTGTCGTCATACGACAAATTAGTTTAATATAGTTAGATAAAAACTGAAGTTATATTGATAGCTTAACTACATTAAATACATTTCTCTTTTTACCCTTTACTCAGCTTAGTTGTTAAGTAGATTATCTTCCTCTGCACGTACTATTGTACGTGAAGTTTCGTGATACCCCAAACAAAGGGTGCCCCAATACACCTGGTATCACTTTGTAGTCCGTCCAACGACTACTTAGTGTCCGTCCAACATGAACATGTTGGACGTAGAAGACGCTAGCTTTCACGTCACAGGTGAAGGCTACTCCCATCTAAGTGACTCAGAACGGGAGGTAGAAGGCCGCATGAGTGTGCTCATGGGCGAACCCGCCATCAGTGGTATGTCGGAGTCTCTAAGCATAGACCAGCGACATGCTGCTATCAACAAGTTCCTACAAGGGGAACTTGCCGTCGAAAGACACAAGATAGCCTTGCTACAACAGCAAGGCTCTCATCAGTCGATGGGCGGACCGACGCACATGCGTCGACCCGAAACCTTGAAGATTGATATCTCAAGGTACAAGGAAACCGATGAAGATTCTATTTTGAGATGGTTCGTCGAGTTAGACGACGCTATCAGGTCCCGTCACATCGAGGGTGACGATGTGACGGGACCTGATAGCGTCGTCTAACTCGACGAACCATCTCAAAATAGACGAGATGCAAGTCACCTTCGCCCTGTCAAAGTTGATAAAACGAGCAAAGACTTGGGCCTTAGGGCTCAAGCTTCACGAATCCAAAAGTGTTTGAGTCGTTGGAGATCTTGCAGTCTCGGCTCAAGAAAAACGTTTGAGCCGCCAAGAGCCGAGTTCAGACCACGCTCTTTACTCCTGAGGCTAAAGCAAGGTAAGCGTGATGTGCACGCTCACGCACAACACCTACACTACCTTGCGAGTAGCGTTACGGAAAACCCTGTTGATGAGCACACGCTTATTAACGTGTTCATCTACGGCCTTGTAGATGGGCCGGTGAAGACCCACATGTTCCGAGAGGACTTCCATACGCTGGATAAGGCGATAGCGTATGCGAAACAAGAAGACTTCAGCCTGAGACAGTCTCAGGCTAATTTCTCAAAGTATCGTCCGAGGAGACGACAGGAAACAGGAGGTCCCGAACCATTGGGCCTCTGTTACATCGAGAGCGAGAAATCTCACTTTCTGAGTCACAAGCGAACAGCAAGATGCCATCAATGTCAGAAGATTGAACACTACGCTCATGAGTGTAGTGCCCCAAGCACCGCATCACGTCCAAATACAGGACGTGATGACCTCCGTTGGCCGAGGAAAGGTCCAAGGCGCGGATCCTACCATGTCGCTAAACCGCGACAGCAAGTCGGAACGCCAAAAAAACGGTCAGGGTCAATAGGGGCGGAGCACCCTGCTGATCCAGCAACGTCAAGAGAATTTGCAGGACTCTTGACGAAGATTGCTCCCAACGCACAGTCGCTGTGTGTTACTGCCCCTAGTGATGAGGAGTCTCTCATCACTTTGAAGATCGAAGTGACACGTGGAATGTCACTTCGCGTCCTAGCTGAATGTGGGGCGTCGAACAGTTTTATTCGACGCCAGTCGCTAAGGGACAGTAGGCTCAACTATGTTGAGCGAGAGTTACCTCCAACGAGGATGACGGTGCGCCTTGCTACAGGCGAATCCGTTACAGTGAACGAAGGTATAGTTGGAATTTACTACACGCTAGAAGGAAAGCAGTACGATGATGACTTCATCGTACTAGATTTGGATGACAAATTTGATTTCATCCTCGGTCTGCCATGACATACAAAATACCAGCCATGGGTCAGCTGGTAGCATCAGTCCTTGATGATGCCTACCGTTTGCTCATCAGGCGGCCATCCGATGAACGTCTTAGAGCGTCCACAAGCGTGTGGATGTACTACGAGTGAGTGCGATGGCCTTACTTGTGGTACGGTCGTTAGTATGACTGCACAAGATCACAGTGTAGAAGGCCACTACACTGTGTAACCAGCTTCCGGCACCTGTGTAGAGACACAGTCTGCGCCGAAGGTTCACCGCTCGAAGAGATCGAGTGGACTAATACACGGATGCACACCAAGAAGGGTGCATCCAAATAGAGAGATTAGTGTTGTTCAGGATGGACAAAACGTTGAAGCGAGGTCGACTAACAGAGAGTCGATCGCAAAGCAAGCCCAATCGACTGGAAGATAGTCGATCGAAGAGGACGTGACTGTGGCCCGATTGACAGAAAGGTGGTCGATCGAAGAGGACGTGACTGTGGTAGTACAACCACAGTCGGTACACGTATTGCAAGAAAATCCAGCGTTCCTGAGAGTGATAAATCCCGAGAGAGTTATGTTGAGGTTGTGGATCCCCAACCACATGCGGATGTGTTTCCCAGAAAAGCGCCGAGACAGTGAATTTCTTGGTGAATGACGGATCAAGTGTAGGCGCTTATACCCTTGATCTGGTTACAACTCCGAAGTCAGATTCGGAGGTAACCAAGTTGCCAACGCTAGAATCTAAAAGATTATTGCGAGATCTGCGTAGTGACAAGATCAAGCAGATCTGCTTACTCGTCACAGAGGACGAGTACGTCGCCGATATTCGGTCGACACAAGTGTTTGCTGAGAACGAATGGGTTCTCAGTAGCTCATCGATGGACGAGAGTGTCCTCGATGAGAAGACCCGGATTGAGCGATACACGTCTCAATCTTGGAAGTCTTTGGAGACAAATCCTTAGTGTAAGGATTTGGTGGAATTCAGGGATGTTTTCCCGGTATCCGTGCCATGCGAGCTGCCTTAGGATAAGGGCAATCGAAATGAGGTCGAAATGAAACCCGGTTCGAAGTACTGTGTCGTGAAGCAGTGGCCACTGCCTCTTGAACAGGTCACAGCGATCGACAACTTCTTTGTCGATCGTTTAGTGGCTGGTCATGTGAGGGAATCAATATCCCCACACAGCTCTCCGACCTTCTGTGTGCGAAAGGCCACAGGAGGGTGGCGGATAGTACACGCGTTCAACAAATTGAACGCTGCAACGGCACCGGCTTAAACGCCGATACCGAGGAAGGAAGTCATCATAGATCGAATGGCCAAAAGTACCATCTTCTTGTACATCTATCTGATGGATGAATTCTATCAGATCCTCATGCATGAACGGGATATCCGTTACACAGCAGTGAGCACCCCCAACGGTATGCTGTGGGAGTGGCTAGTGATGCTACAGGGGCTAAGTAATTCTCCCGCAACGTTTAACAGATGTGTTACAAACCTGTTGCTATCAGTGCGTGATTTCGCACCGAGTTACTTCGACGATGTCTTCGTCCATAGCCGGGCTATGGATGGAAAGACGTACGTGGAGGTTCACCGATTCCACGTCCGGAAAATTCGCACACTTGTGCGAGAGCGTATGTTATTCGCGAACCTCAAGAAGTGTATATTCGCAGCGAACGAAATATCACTTCTTGGCTGAATCGTGGGTTAAAATCTTGTGCACCCTGATTCAGATAATATTTAGGCGATTAGCGACTGGACTGTGCCAGTCGACTTCAAGGGACTTCAAAATTTACTTAAATTAGCGGCGTACTTGCACAAGTTCTCGCGCAACTACGCCGAGATGACCGTACATCTCTCTCGTCTGCTAAAGAAAAACGAGAGGTGGTCATGGAGTGCTGAGTGTCAGCACTCCTTTGAAGGTATCAAGAAAAGCTTGATACAATCGCTTGTGTTGGCGATTGCAGACCAGGATAGACCATTTCATGTGGTCTGTGACGCCAGCGATTTTGCAATCGGCTGCGGGTTAATGCAGTACGACTCAGACGGCGTTGAGCGCGTCGTCTGTTATCAAAATTGCGTCAGCTGCAAGCAGCTGAGCATAATTACTCGGTGCATGACAAGGAACTCCTTGCCATGAAATAGGCACTGGCTAAGTTTCGGTTGTATCACTTAGGAGATAGGCCCTTCATCGTTAATACCGACCAGCGTCGTTACGCACGTCCGTAAACCGTCCACACCTTTTACAACGATTGGTGAGATAGCTGTCTTTCTTCGCGGAGTACAACTTCTCCGTCGAGTATAAAACAGGACGACTTAACGTCGTCGCTGATACTCTTTCGCGTCGGCCCGATTTCGAGCCGACTGCTCAACACAACAGTAGGGGTGACCCCACTGTCGCGACACTAACAGTGAGTGTTCCGTCATCGAATCGGCTTGACGTGCGGAAGGCATACGCAGAAGATGAGTCATTTTTTTGTTCAGTGGATGAAGTATCTAAGTCATGCCTCCAAGCTTTGAAAAGCTTGTCGTCTCAACACCTCTCTTCAACCGAACGGTATTCGGTTCGTGATGGACTGCTGTACTATACAGCATTCAACGGCGACACACATCGTGTCGTCTTTCCCGCTTATGATGATTCGAGATTGCGCATCATGTATGAGTGTCACGATGCTCCAACAAGTGGACATCGTGGTATAGAAAAGACATACCTCACGGTAAGTCGTGACTTTTACTGGCCCTGCGAGTATGAGTTTGTGCACAAGTACATTCGTGCTTGCGAAGTTTGTCAAAGGGTGAAGCCTAGTCCTTCATCCTGCGCACCCTTACAGCCTCTTCCGATTCTGGCAGAGTGTTGGCAGTCCGTATCGATGGACTTCGTCTTCGGGTTTCCCAAAGACGTTCACAAGAATACTGGTATTCTTGTGCTTGTTGATCGGTTCAGCAAGATGGTGCATCTTGTTGCTGTAACAAATTCAATCACAGCCCAGGGCTGTGCTCGTGTCTTCATCGATACTATCTTCCGACTTCACGGGTTACCCCGTGAGCTCGTGTCTGACAGGGACCCTCGCTTCACAGCGGAGTTCTGGCAATCCGTGTTCTGTTCACTTGGAACACGTTTGACGATGTCGACTTCTGACCATCCAGAAACAGCTGGTCAGACGGAACGCGACAACCGCGTCCTCGAAGAGATACTTCGAGGGTATGTCCACTCGTTTACGAGTTGGAGTGAGTTCTTGACGATGGCGGAATTTGCCATCAACAACTTGGTGCATGCGTCGACAACGCATACACCGTTCTTCGTGAATGGCCTACGCCATCCACGTGTACCCGCCTTCTTAGAGTGTGACTCTAGTTTGAGGGGGGGGTGGACTCGCTCGAACAAAACCCGATCTGGTCCTTGCTCATCACCCGTCGACAATGGTGTCGACCTGATGGATGCCGATGTCGATGCGATGGATATCGATGATGATGACGACGACGATACTGGTATATTTAGCATCGCCAATGACTGCCGAAGTGAGGACGATGACACCCTCACTAGTGAAGACAACGTTTTTTAGCAGTGCACACGAAGCGCACTGCTGTTGACAAGGATGAATCAGCAGAGGAATTTCTGCTGACTCGCGAAGCGGCTGTCCGCTTCTTTCACTACTCTATTACAGATGCACTAGACAGACAGAAAAGAAACGCAGACAAACATGTAAGAGCAAATCTTCTTTCATATGATGAAGGAGACTTAGTTTTACTGTCAACAGTAAAATTACCGAAACACGCAGTAACAATCGTGGGCAGCGGTAAATTACTGCCCAAGTATGTCGGTCCGTTTCGTGTATTGCATCACATGGGCAACGCTTACACGATTGAACTGCCCCGTAAGATGCGTACGCATTCTACAATTTACGTCGGACTTCTCCGCCCGTACTATCAGTACGAGCCCATTCAAGAGGCGAAGAACACCTCCGCGGTCGAGAGCCGAGACCACCTTCGAGTGGTTCCGTTTTAACGAGCCAGTCTGGTCGACTATCGAAGCAACCTGCTCACGCAGTTGAGCGATGTCTCGACGAGCTGCAGCCAGCTCGTACGAAGAGAACGAGTCGAAAGTTTGTTTTCTAGTTGCGCGAACGCAAAAGCGGCACGATTGTCCGAACGATCGTGCGTTATGATATTGTACTTATCCCTCACAAGATCCTCAAGCCCATAACGCCGAGTCCATTCATGAGCCAGGTTACCTTGCAACTGTTCTGTGACAGAGCTCAGTGCCTGAACATCAAGCTGATCCGACCCTCGAGCCGGATCAGGTGTCCCTCCACCACCACATCCTTTGGTGGATTCTGGCGGTGGTTAACGCTTTCTGGTGTAGCGTGTTTTGATCCACCGCTACATGAATGGCGTCCGGACGTGTTGCCTAGTCCGCTGACGTGGCTATCCACCGGCGTGGGATAGCCTGGAGCCTCGTGCCCAGCTGATTGTTGATGTCCTGGGTCTCGTCGAGCAGTACGACGAGACCCACCGCTACGTTTGAAGAAAGGCCGTCGGAAAATGACCTCCCCGAACGCGAGTACAGGGGTTGCAAAGTGTCAATCCCTTCGGCCATCTCGGAAGAGATGCGCGCCCTCCCGTAGGGATCATTAGGGAGTAAGGCCTCCCTAGGGGCACGATTCGAGTTGTCCAGGCAACCTGGACACGAATCACCCCACGAGAGACAGATAAAGCCTGCCTCTCTTGAAAGTCGGTTCAACTTGTATCGCACCCCGACTGGGTTGCGTTTCTCAAACCTGATGCGAGCTGCATCAAGTTTGGCGAGCCAGGCCTCACGGCCAATGCACTCGATGTTACGGATGAGGGCATCCCATCCTTGCACCAAGGCTTTACCGTCTCGAACACGGCTGCCGTTGTACCACCGATGCTTGAAAAACGCATCGGTGAAGAACTCTTCCTCAGCACGGATAGTTTCCGTGCGGAATCAGGTGGGTAAATCTTCCTACAATCGAACAACGGGATTCGATCCCGATCGGTAGTCATGCCGGCCAGCCGGTCCAACTCTCTGGATGACGGCATCCACGGAGACTCTACTTGAGGAGCGTGGCGCAGGACATTTCGGTCCAGGGAGCACTGACACCAGTGACAGCTCAACCCTCGAGTTGCTTCTTTCGCGGTGATGCATAGGTGCATCACCATCATCACCACGCTTCCAATCTTCGGATGGACTTGCGTGAGACGAGGATTCGTCGGAACAATCGCTCGGTCTGAATATCTCGAGCATGATGCCGCCACGTTGACCAGAACCAGTCAACCTGACTCGTGCAGTGTCCGCCCCGGGTGACCTGGAGGCGTGAGGTGTCGCCTTCGAGTCGGATACATCATCCGACTCGCCAGAATAGATGATATCTATTACAGACTCATCTTGATTACGACTCGTGGTACCCGCTGCAGACGCAGCGGATGTATCTGTCACACACGTGGTGACTGACCTCGTTGACTGTTCACAACAGGCACCGCCTGTTGCTGAAATGCAACAGCAGGCGAAGGATCATCTGCTGCTGAAGCAAGAGAAGAACTCTCTTCGGCTTCATGCATGCGTGCAACCGTCTTTCTTTCTTCGGCAGCACATCGCATGGACTTTGACACCATGCGATGAATTGGCAAATGAGTTGGAATTTGACCAACAAGTGCTCCCCTTCACAGAGTAATTCAACGGTGGTCACCCTGTCCCAATCAGTTCTAATTCAATCAACGGTTGATTGATGGTTAAGGGGAGGGATAATGTAGCAGGTAGGCCGTTACATGATACTGAAACCAAACGTGTCAATAGGGATATTGTCTATCGTGACAATTCTCTACCAATACTACCCGAGATGGATATTTTATAGGGACATTATCCTGTTGGTGTAATGTTCATGTAATGATCAGAGATTATTGATAAAGACACACTAAACCATAGAATAACACCAATCGCTGCTAGATGCGCGCAATGAGTAATGAGCAGGTTGTCGTCATACGACGACGTAGTTTAATATAGTTAGATAAAGATTAAAGTTATATTGATAGCTTCATCATACTGGATACAGTTCTCTTTTTACCTGTACTTGAACGAGTATTTAATTGATTAGCTTCCTCTGCACGTACTAGTGTAGGTGAAGTTTCGTGACACCTAGACAAAGGTTGCCCCGTTACATATACTGTCTCTTCCACATGACCGACGAGGGCGACCGAGTAATGAACACCCGACTTGTGATCCCCAAATTCATCCAGACCGACGTGTTACATCACTACCACGCTATTCTGGCAGGCGGTCATCAAGGGGTCGGTCGCACCTACTTACGGATTCACCGTAATTGCTTTCGGAGAGGATTGTTTTGTTTAATTCTTAAATTGTCGTGAGCGCTTGGAAGAAATAACTTGTGGTCGAAGCAGTAAAACCAAAAGTGAATAGCATTGTGTGTTTACCTCTTCCTACCGTTAGTCTCATTCTTGCTACCATTAGATCTTCTGCGCTTCGTCGCTAGTCATCTCAGCTGTCCAATCATCATTCGGGTACGCCTGCAGACCGGTCAATTCTAATTGACCAATCACACGTCGTTGCCATGCCCCTGTCGCAAAAGTAGGGGACGTCACTATCTGGCAGGACAGTGCTGGTGAACCCTAGACACCAGGACCCGAAGGCTTAACTTTTTAGCTTGTCCCCACCGGGGATTGAGCCAGTGACCTCTGGGATAACGCTGCCACGCCTTCCCTCCTGAGCCACTGGACGTTGTCAAACCACCGTGAAACTCTTCCTACTAAACTTGTGCTAACTACTAAACACAATAACACACCTGAATATAAACAAACTTTCCATGCAACTGCACAAGAAACATAACCTTCCACCAGCACTCTATCTTGATGCGCACGTGCTTCGATTGCGCCTAAGGTTCGAGATGAAGACCTTTGAAAAACTTCTCATGTTTGACACGCCTGAGCGCTTTCGTAGAACCGTCTGCAACCATTCGATTTGTACGCATATACTCGAGCTCAATGATATCTTCCTCAACCTTTTCGCGAATAAAGTGAAATTTGATGTCGATGTGTTTTGTTTTGTGTAAACTCCGGCTTCTTTGCCAGGGCAATGCAGCCTTGGTTATCTTCATAGATTTTCGTTCCCGCTTCTGGTACAATACCAACATTCGAAAGCAGCAAACGCAGCCATACCGCCTCTTGTGATGCAGAGTACAACGCCATGTACTCTGCCTAGGTGCTTGACGTTGCCACCGTCGGCTGCCGTTTCGACTTCCCTGAAACACACTGTTGTTTATATAGAATACGTGGCCCGTTGTCGAGTGACGCGAATTCAAATCACTTGCCCACGACGCATCCGCGAAGCCTAGCAGTTCTTGCTTGTTGTTGCCATCGATCACGATGCTGAAAACCGCGGTCGTCTTCAGGTACTTTAGCACTCGCTTTGCAGCTGTCCAGTGCTGCTTTCCCTACTTCTCGCAATGCCTGTCTACTTCTCCAACCGCATGCACAATATCCGGGCGGGTGCACGTGGCGACGTACATAAAAGCACCTACCAGCTCGTGGTAAGGCCACTTGGGCACAAAATCATTATCCGTCGTGAGCTTTGAAAACTTCTCACTATCATTAGTCGGCTTGTGCACGTCCTTGCATTAGTCGACGCCATACTTCTCTGCGAGACGCTTGATATACATTCACGCTGATTCATCCGAATTGTCTTGCTGTTAATGTCACGCATCAGTTCAATACCAAGACAGTACGTTAGCTCACCGAGCTCCTTGATGCTAAAGTCCGTCTTGAGTTCACGCTTGATGTCGTCGATGTTTTCTTGCGTCCGCGCGAAAATCATCAAGTCGTCATAATGAGTGATCATAAGACTGAATTACCCTTCGATCGGCGTACGTAAACACAAGGATCAGCTGCTGCCTTCTTGACGCCTTGACCTTCGAGGTGGTGGTTAAGACGTTGGTTCCATTCGCGTGCTGCCTGCTTTGTGCCGTATAGTGCTTTGTGCATCAGACACTTTTTCCCACGGTGTCGCTCATCCACAAATCCGTCCGGCTGGTCCATGTAGATCTCTTCCTTAACTTCACCGTAGAGGAAGTCATTGTCAACATCGACATTTTCAATCTTCAAGTTTTCTTCAGCCGCGAGCGCTAACGCGACATTGATAGACTCTTTACGAGCCACGGGAGCGAAAGTATCAAAATAGTCCACGCCGGGACGCTGTGTAAATTCCTTAGCCACGAGCCGTGCCTTAAACTTTACAATCACCCCAAATTGATCTCGCTTGATTCGAAAAACCCACTTGCACCCGATCGACCTCTTGTTGCTAGAAATTTCTACAAGAGCCCATGTCTTGGGCTGAGCGAGCGACTTGATCTCGCTCTTCACGGCACGCATCCAGTCTTTCTTGTACTTGATCCTTAACACTTTCTCGTATGTCGACGCTCTCTCGCCGTCATCTTCTGCGATAAGGCAGTACTGTGCGTCGTAGCCAGCTTCAAAGTCATCGAGATTAAATAAACCGCGCTGCAGGTTCGGAAATTCTTGCTCGTAGTATGTAATTGCCTGTTTTTTGCGCACTGGACGCACATGTGGCTCTGGTTCACCGTCACGCCCCGGTGTACTCGATTGTCGCGTTGGGACGGAGCCAGTAGGTCGTTCGGTCGGTCCCGTGTTGACATGGGTGACACTTGGACTTCCGGGTGTTGGGGTGTTAATTTAACCATCCACTGCTGCATCTGTAGGCTGTTGCACATAGTCTTCGTCATTCAAAACGTCGATCACATCTGGTGTGATATTTCTGCTTGCTTTTACTATCGCATGCTCGGCGAACGTCACGCTGCGAGATATCACCACATCCCCTGTGCTTGCATTTAGCAGTCGATAGACCTTGTGCTGTTTAGAGTAGCCGAGTAGCAAACAGCGCACACCTGAGTCGTCTATCTTGGTTCTCTTCGCCTTGGTCACGTGCACGTAGCGTAGACTGTCAAACACCCGCAAAGAATCGATCTGTGGCTTGCGCTTGAACAAAATTTCGAACGGACTTGCTTTCGGACTTGACGCATGAGGTACTACATTGTAGATGTCTACGGCAGTTAACATTGCCTCACACCAGTATGCCTTGTCCATCTTAGCGTCTCTTAGCATGCAGCGTGTCATTTCTACCAATGTGCGATTCAAGCTCTCTGCCATGCCATTATGCTCTGGATTACATGGGTACGGTAAATTCTTTCTTGATCATCTTTTGCCGACACAATCGGTTCATTTCAGCGTTTCGATACTCTCCGCCGTGATAACGGCGGAGTACCTTCACGTCGATGTCGCATTCGAGCTTGACATCATGATTATACTATATGAAAGCCTCGATGACCTGACACTTCTTTCGCAGTGGATAAACTGTCTCAAAACGACTCTTCATCATCATGAAGGTCACGACGTAGCGGTAGCCAGACTTGGATGCCGGTGACACAGGTCTTAAAGCATCCAAACGCACGACCGAGTCTTCGCGGCAACTCTCCCTTGCTGCAGTATCCGCTTTGTTGCTGTTAGATGTCTTAAGTACTTGCTTGGCTGTCGCGCATACGTCACAAACGACACTCGAATCGATACATTTGCCGTTAATGCCGCCTTGCTTGATCAGCTTGTTCACAGTAGAGTAGAACACATGTCCGAGTCGACGATGCCACAGTTCTACTTCGCCCTCTACCATGTGGCACTCGGATTTCGCTTCAACATTGAGTAGAAGAAGCATAACACGCCGTGAGCCTTTCGCAACGGGTTGTCCCCCTTTCTGACGATGCATTCATTGCCTGCAATCTCGATCGTCATCCCGCGCGCTTTTGCTGCCGTCAACGAAGATAGGTTCTTGCTGAGGTATTGCACATGAAGAGCATTTTCCAGCCTGGCGTTCATCCACGATGTGCCGTTCCAAACTCGTAAGACTGCTGTGCCCCGTCCAAGCACCTTCAAACACGCACTATTCTTGGCGCTTAGCACAATCCGTACCGACGCCATTTCTGCGTATTCGACAAAATACTCTCGGTCCTTACACATGTGAGATGTCGCGCCGCTGTCCATTATCCAGCAGTCGCTTATGTTATCTTTAAACACATTAGATGCAACATTAGAGTGATCTTCGTGCAACTCGTCACCACCTGACGGCTTTGTCCAACAGTCGCGCGCGAAGTACCCGTGCTTCCCGCACTTGAAGCACTGAACATTCGACCCTTTATTGCACTGACCGCCATTCTTCTTTGTAGGCCTGCTCTTGTCTATGCGCTTGCCGATGTGCAACGATGTCGCTTCTTCGATTCGCGACGAGTCTTTCTTGCGTACCTCTTCGGCTACGATTTTTCTCAAAAATTTGTGAAGCTAAATGTCGTCAAACTCATACAAAACGCTTAAACCGGGCTTTCATATGATGACGGAAGGCTGTGCAGCACGGTCGCGCAAATATCCTCTTCGCTAGGCCCACACTAAGCTCCATTCATCTTCAGCACCATTTGCTCCGGCTCCATGACGTGAAATGTCATGTCCGGCGTCGTGTACTTGAAAGACGCAATCTTTTCCTTTAGCCACAGCCGACTTGCCATGTCGTGAGTCCGATGAACTCGAGCGAGAGCTGACCATTCATCGCGTGCATTCTCCGTGCAAACGACGTGTAGAAGCTGTGCGTAGCTCAGGTTCAACACGATCGCTGCGTGCGCCTGCTGCTCCTGAGCTGCTGTGACGGCCGCTCCACCATTCACCGCGTCCCATAGTCCCTTAGACATGAGGAACACCTTCATCTTGAACGCCCACAAGGTGTAGTTTGTTCCGTTGAAAAATTTCATCTTAAACGCAATCTCAACGCTTGGGCTCATAGCCTGTTGAATTCTAAAGTTTTCGTGAGCGCTTGGAAGAAATAACTTGTGGTCGAAGCAGTAAAACCAAAAGTGAATAGCATTGTGTGTTTACCTCTTCCTACCGTTAGTCTCATTCTTGCTACCATTAGATATTCTGCGCTTCGTCGCTAGTCATCTCAGCTGTCCAATCATCATTCGGGTACGCCTGCAGACCGGTCAATTCTAATTGACCAATCACACGTCGTTGCCATGCCCCTGTCGCAAAAGTAGGGGACGTCGCTATCTGGCAGGACAGTGCTGGTGAACCCTAGACACCAGGACCCGAAGGCTTAACTTTTTAGCTTGTCCCCACCGGGGATTGAGCCAGTGACCTCTGGGGTAACGCTGCCACGCCTTCCCTCCTGAGCCACTGGACGTTGTCAAACCACCGTGAAACTCTTCCTACTAAACTTGTGCTAACTACTAAACACAATAAAACACCTGAATATAAACAAACTTTTCATGCAACTGCACAAGAAGCATCACCTTCCACCAACATGTTTTGAAGTGTGCAGAGGTATGTGGGATTATGTCTGGAATCTAAAAGGGAAAGAGGGGTGTCTACCCTTTAAGGGACAACCCAGGCAACGTCGAGGCGACCTACCCTTTCCAAGATATAGCAATGGACCATACTCTCTCGTTGCCCAAGTCACATAAGAGAAACACCGACCTATGTATTTGGGTCGACCTATTCGCTGGGTATGTGATGGCCAAGTCGAGTGCTTCGCGAGCTGCTCAGACGGTAGCCGAAGGGTACGAAGAATGTGTTTCGGCGTTAATGGGCCAGCGAGGTGAACCGCCATGATCGGGAACCCAGTATCATGTCGGACTTCTTGCGAGCGTTCAATCGCATGGTGAATCAGCGTCAACGGGCGACGATGGCTTGCCTAACCCAGGCGAACGGTAACGCGGAAAGAATGGTCCAAACCCTGACAAGGTATATCAAATGTATGTCTCAAAAGTGGCGCAGCAGGATTGGTACGAATACGCAGACGACTAACGTTTGCACTGAACAATACACACGACACAATGCATAAAGAGACACCGTTCGAATTGGCCTACGGGTGGGACGCTGGAACCACTATGGAAGCAACGTTTCCAGTGGTGAACACCTGATGCAAAAGGTAAAAGGCTCGAAGATGGAGGTATCACATTCAAAGTCACTGTAGGCGTGCAAAGGAACAGGTAAACGAGCATTTGTGGTCGGCCTGTCAATCCCGGGTGCTAAATCATAATAAACAAGTGTTTGGTCTCACGATTCGACCAGGTATCCATAGTGTGGCTCTACTTGGATCGTATGAGGGAGGGGTACGCAAAAAAATGGCCCACCTCTCACATGTTCCGCTCCCAGTTTTGGATGGTCGGTGAATACGCTGCGCGGTTGGAGGTAAGAAATAAAAAGCACAGATTATTCCCGATCGTTCACGTCTCCAAGCTAAAAAGGGTCAGGGGCGTTACCAGATCACCCGATTGACCGACTGACGGTGAACGGAGCCGACCAAATCGGCTTTCACGAACGCTCGTTGCCGGAAGATAGCTGGGCACGCGAACTGGAGGAAGACGAACAGGAAGTGGAAGAGATTCAAAATCCGTGTCATCAAGAAGACGCGTTACGTTCGGCAGCGGCGTAAACTCTTAATACGTTGAAAGGGTTATGCGGACCCCTCATGGGCCGACGAAGTAAATTTGAATTGTAAAGCTTGATTTAGAGAGTTTGAACGCAACGTGATAACCTACAACCGTTTCGAGGTGATGCAGAGTCACGAAGACAAATGTAGGATAGGAAATCAGTCGCCCGTTGGTCGGCATCGTCACATGTGGATCGAGCATAAAATCCGTGAGCGGATCAAAATTTTGGGACCAAACAACTCTACACAGAAGTCGAGCATGACCCAATCGAAGTGAGCAAGTGTATCCCAAGGTGTTCCGTGATTTATCTGGAGTTGGCCACAACTATTCATGGTTAATTAAAAGCAGTACAACGCTGGCTGACAAAGGAAAAGGTTTGGCAGAGTGGTTACTGATCAACGAATGGACAATGTGGATGTAAAACAGATTGAAAGCATTGTATTTTAAGCGATTTCTCCTACGAAGGAGGAAAGAACTTGTTCTAAAGGCAAGCGACCTTAATTCCTGGGTGGGCCTCATAGGTTAGTCTGTACTGGGAGTTTCATGGACAGGCAGAGTTTGAGATTAGAAGAGCGGCCAAAAGGTCGATTGTTTCCGGCTTCTCTTCACACCCAGTGAACTAGTAAACTACGCGGCAAGGGCGAGGCAAGCGCCCGAAGAAGAAGAAAAGAAGATGTCGATTTCACACCGATGAACGACCATCCCTGCGAAGATTTGACCGACAATCCAACGCCAAGCCAAAGAAGCCCTACTCTGCCGTTTCTTCTGGGCGTTTTAGTACGAGGCTAAGGAGAAGCTTGTGCGAGCTTGATCCTACAAGATCCAGAGGCAGTGGGTAGCCTCCTAGAGTGCCTGAAAGTGATCAGTTTCAAAATCTGCGTATACGTCAGCCGAGTCAGCGAAGTAGCCGACCACCTTGAACGACACGGGAGGAAGAGGGACCTTAGCGGCTAAGCAAGGCTTCGTAGCCATCAGGATCCAGATTATAGGAGGAGTCACCAGCAAAGATTTCAAATTCGTTGGACGATCAAAATTACCATCTGGTGGACCGAACCAACCCCGAGGTATCCACAACTGGTAGGCTAGGTCGCTAGGCGTCATAATGACGATCGACCAGAAGCTGACCAGGCCAACCGACCAAGACGCCACTTCATTTGCAGAGAAAATCCTCGCTTGAGTCGAACCTGGGATCCTGGCTTCTGGCGGAAGCGAGTACTCGTCGTCCGACGTAAAGGTACTGCAAGTTTCGGGGTAGTCACATGTCTTCGGAGGTGGCGGCTTGGTCTCGGACTAGGATGACCAGAACATGTCATGGGTGACGGACCAAGTAGTCAAGGCCTTCGGCACTGGAGTCTTCATGGCGGCAAGGGGAAGCAGAGACGCAGTCTACGGCCGACGACGGGAAGAACGAGATCCAGACATGGCAGCCCGGATTGGTTTGCTGTCGTAATTGAGGCTCAAGTCTGAAGATGTCGGGACGCTCGGCGACGCAGCTTGCTCAGAACGCGTGAGAACTTTCCTCTTCGCCATCAGAACGTCCGGTACGATCCTTTTCGTCCGCTTAGCCGGGTGGGTTGAGGTACAAGAAGACTTCCTCAGAGGCCACTTGCCGGCGGAGAGAGCAGAGAGTCGATCGTCCGTCGTCGAGTCTTGTGACGGCCCTTGAGTGACACCAGGGCTACCCCTTAGAGATTCGCCCGCGAAATTGGAGTGGCTAAGCTCTACCACGAGAAAAGACATCCGACTGTGGCGAAGGTCGACTTGCTGTCGCCAGTGGTCGGACAGCGCCATCTCATGCTGCATTTTCTATCGAAGCTGCAAGACGAGAGCTCTGGACTCACCTAACTCCCGTTCCAAGCACTCACACCGGGTTGAAGAGTAATGAGGCGACGGAGACATCAAGGCCAACCGACCTTCGCAGGCCTCGACACGGCGACACAACGCCACTACATCGACGGGTGGTACGTTTGTGGTCAAACGACCACCGGCGAGGTCGACTGATGTGGCCGAAACACACCGGCCGAAGCGGCACTGACGGCATTAACAGAATAAGCGGTCACAACTGGGGAGACCTAACACCGAGGTAACCCGAGCCGATTCCACCAATGGAATTGTCGACAGCGTGGTAACGGCAGCCTTACCCGCGTTCGCCAGAGATGACGACTCCAGAGAACCAGGGTGACAGGCTATGCTGCAACTGGGTCTGCTTGGACAGAGACCTCTGCCAAGGGTGCAGGTGTTGGCGACGCAGGAGCTGGAGCCGGAACCTCGGACGGTGAGGTAGATCCAGGTGAAGGCGTCGCTGCAATAACGGGTTAGACGATGACAAGATATCGGCCACAAGAGCAGTTGATACTTAAGAGACAGGGGTAGTGAAAACAAGGTCGCGCTCGAACCGCTGTACAGTCGAGCAAGTGCAAGGGACGGCTATGGTGAAGCGAGTATTCGAAAATGACAGACTTAAGAATCGACGAGCCGGACGGACATGGGATCTCGCGGCCAGTAAAGGGACCGGGGACTTGAGGTTCAAAGGTAAGAACCGGCCGTTGGGTCCAACCGTGACGAGAGAATAAGGTGTCTGCCAACGGGTCAAACCGACCAACGGCACTAGTTAAACAGTATCGATATGGATCGTTTTCGACCACTCGTCGGTCGGCCCTGGTCGCTCAAGGTGGACCTCGGTCACCCGTAGGCCGACCTGGCCTCCCATACGTCGACTTGGCCTCTAAAGATCCGGTGGCTCCTGGCCACTCATCATAGCGAGCCCAGCGTGCAAGGCAAGGATAGAGTAAAGGGGTTTAAAGAATGGGATAACATTTTAAAAACTACTTAATTTGCGATCTAAGTAGCACAACGGGTCGTGCGCTAATAAACTTGTAAGCCTACCGACCTGTTCCGGGCCAGGAATCTGTTTGGTTTACCCGTCCAATAGACAGTTTTAAGCAAGAAACAAGCTAAAGTAGATCCCAGGAAGTACATTGGCCTGTGGATTCGTAGAGTAGCACCCCCCACTCAATATCACTATCAGAAGCGACCTCCTTACCCTAGTGGTAAGGGAGAAGACACGTAAAGGCCAGGCGGTAAACACCCCTGAGACAAGGAAAGGCCAGACGCCACCAGCACCTGAGACAATTAGTTATAAGACCACTCTCGACCAAGTCGATAGATTGGCCGCCTACTTTGGACCCCGACTGAAGCATATCCGCTCGGCCCCCCTCAGGTCGACCTCCATCAAGGCCGACGTCAACATCATCACCAAGTCCTCCGAAGAGTGACACCCGCTAAGCCGACGGGACACAAGGTGAGTCAAGGTCCACAAGTGGCATCGGAGTACCCCTTCCAACAGTCGGCAGCCCGGCACAGTGAGCGGTTTGGTGTCTCGTCAAACAGATCTGACAACCCACTCCACCACATTATCCTTTACAAGGTCATGGAGCTCGTAAAGCCGAGTCCGTTCATGAGCACGGTCATCGTGTAACTGTTTCGTTACAAGGTTCAGTGCCTGAACATCAAGCTGATCCGACCCTCGAGCCGGATCAGGTGTCCCTCCACCACCACATCCTTTGGTGGATTCTGGCGGTGGTTAACGCTTCCTGGTGAAGCGTGTTTTGATCCACCGCTACATGAATGGCGTCCGGACGTGTTGCCTAGTCCGCTGGCGTGGCTATCCACCGGCGTGGGATAGCCTGGAGCCTCGTGCCCAGCTGATTGTTGATGTCCTGGGTCTCGTCGAGCAGTACGACGAGACCCACCGCTACGTTTGAAGAAAGGCCGTCGGAAAATGACCTCCCCGAACGCGAGTACAGGGGTTGCAAAGTGTCAATCCCTTCGGCCATCTCGGAAGAGATGCGCGCCCTCCCGTAGGGATCATTAGGGAGTAAGGCCTCCCTAGGGGCACGATTCGAGTTGTCCAGGCAACCTGGACACGAATCACCCCACGAGAGACAGATAAAGCCTGCCTCTCTTGAAAGTCGGTTCAACTTGTATCGCACCCCGACTGGGTTGCGTTTCTCAAACCTGATGCGAGCTGCATCAAGTTTGGCGAGCCAGGCCTCACGGCCAATGCACTCGATGTTACGGATGAGGGCATCCCATCCTTGCACCAAGGCTTTACCGTCTCGAACACGGCTGCCGTTGTACCACCGATGCTTGAAAAACGCATCGGTGAAGAACTCTTCCTCAGCACGGATAGTTTCCGTGCGGAATCGGGTGGGTAAATCTTCCTACAATCGAACAACGGGATTCGATCCCGATCGGTAGTCATGCCGGCCAGCCGGTCCAACTCTCTGGATGACGGCATCCACGGAGACTCTACTTGAGGAGCGTGGCGCAGGACGTTTCGGTCCAGGGAGCACTGACACCAGTGACAGCTCAACCCTCGAGTTGCTTCTTTCGCGGTGATGCATAGGTGCATCACCATCATCACCACGCTTCCAATCTTCGGATGGACTTGCGTGAGACGAGGATTCGTCGGAACAATCGCTCGGTCTGAATATCTCGAGCATGATGCCGCCACGTTGACCAGAACCAGTCAACCTGACTCGTGCAGTGTCCGCCCCGGGTGACCTGGAGGCGTGAGGTGTCGCCTTCGAGTCGGATACATCATCCGACTCGCCAGAATAGATGATCTCTATTACAGACTCATCTTAATTACGACTCGTGGTACCCGCTGCAGACGCAGCGGATGTATCTGTCACACACGTGGTGACTGACCTCGTTGACTGTTTACAACAGGCACCGCCTGTTGCTGAAATGCAACAGCAGGCGAAGGATCATCTGCTGCTGAAGCAAGAGAAGAACTCTCTTCGGCTTCATGCATGCGTGCAACCGTCTTTCTTTCTTCGGCAGCACATCGCATGGACTTTGACACCATGCGATGAATTGGCAAATGAGTTGGAATTTGACCAACAAGTGCTCCCCTTCACAGAGTAATTCAACGGTGGTCACCCTGTCCCAATCAGTTCTAATTCAATCAACGGTTGATTGATGGTTAAGGGGATGGATAATGTAACGGGGTAGGCCGTAGCATGATACTGAAACCAAACGGTGTCAATAGGGATATTGTATAGCATGAAGAATTCCTACCAATAATATCCGAGATGATGATTTTGAAGGATTACTGTCCCCTTTTAGAATAATATTCATGCGCTGCTCCAAGATTGGTGGATAAAAGACACACTAACCATAGATTGCCACCAATCGCTGCTAGACGCGCGCAATGAGTGGTGAGCAGGTTGTCGTCACACGACAACGTAGTTTAATATAGTTAGATAAAGACTGAAGTTATATTGATAGCTTAACTGTATCAAATACGGTCATTTTTCTACCTTTCTCAAATTAGTGGTTCGAATAGACTAGCTACCTTTGCACGTACTATTGAAGGCCCCCCCTATAATAAAAGGTATTGTAAACTTCATAATGAATTAATTTTTTTTCATTATTATTGCAGTATTTGAATGTTGGATGTGCACTCCGCCTAAAAAGTATAATCGCAAGATTGAAATTACAAATTCTAAATGTGGAATTTTATTTTTATAAATTTTCAATCGAAAATGGTATTTTGATCTGTAAATTCGTTAAAATACCTATTGATGTTGAAATAATTATTGCTTTCCTACTATAGAAACTCTAGCAGGTGATGTATCAGTATAATCCTAAATAGACAAAATATTATGATCGTTTTAATGTCTATCGAATTATTACTATTATCAAATAATTTAAATGTTTTTTTTTATAAGTTCTATTAAAATTAATTAATAGAACTTTGATATTATGAATTTGAAAACATTTTCATTCATACTTTTTCAACCTTTAATTTTTGATAGTTTCATGATAAAAGAAGATGATCTAACAATAGGTCAAGTATGAATTTAGTTTGTTGTTTAAATTTTTGCATTTAAATCTGAGATTTAAGCCTAAGTTGGTGGTTCGATTGGATTAGCTACCTCTGCACGTACTAGTGTACGTGAAATTTCGCGGCACCCCCAACAAAGGGTCACCCGTTACAGGCGACACACGAGGCATATGCTGGTGACACAAAAGGCATACTGGCGACGCAAGCGGGACAAACGAAGATTTTTCATAGCACAGTCGTAGATGCCTCCTTCTGATACATTTTATGTATTTTATATTTACCTTCTTCGACAGAGGTTCCTCTCAAGCACGAAGCCTGCCCTGCAACAAACACACGCCTCGAACCGCGGGCGTGTCACTTGTATTTTCGTGTAGTAGTGTGGAAAGTAACGTATTCAGCCCGGACAGTATTGATCTCTAGAAGTATATCGATGAACCTCACCTTCAACAACAACAATGACAAGGCTCATCCCGGCTGTAGACATCCGCTTGCTCTCCAACATGCCTACTCTTGGGTTGAGTATTTTTTTGGAAGAGTTTCATAGAGATCGAAACAAGGAGAACGGGGTCCTTTGTCTATTCTTTTGTCCTAACAAAGCAAAATTCACCGACTGATTGACACGGCAAGCGAGATGCCGCCAGCCATCACACCCGGCACGATGCAAACTCCTACACGAGCACGGCAAAAAGGGCATGAACGGTCATAAAGCGCCTCAGCTCATTGTGGTTTTTGCGCATTTGCGCACTGTCCAAACACCGATGGATCACTGCATCTTGCACAAAACATGTATTCGTGTATGACCATATGCAAAGGCGCTACCCGAAACTTTTGCGGCTGACTCAGGAGACTCTGATTGCCGTTCGCCAGCTCGCGACAATCGACACTCCTCGAGCATTCTTCCTTTTGTCGCACATGCAGCTCGTCTCCACAATACGCTCGTGGCAGACTCACTTCTCTCATTAGCCCTACACATGCATCGGTAGCGTCGAACGTTCCTTGAACTGCCACTTTTTGCAGCAACCTGGATGGCCACACAATCTTTTGACTTTTGGCAACTGCCAAGAGCGAGTTGAGGTGGGAGAGCTTAGAAGAAGGTAAAATGGAAAGTGAATTATCATCTAGCTAGGTCCTTAGTTCGTCTCGTTGTACTACTCTAAGCCTATCGATATCGACTCTATAATATTAGTAACAAAACGATGAGTCGATCCCATCGTTACACACTATCACACAGTGTCGTCCATGACATATGGTCATTAGTATCAGTAACCAACACCATTACCAATACTCCCCCTCGACTAGAAGTCTCTGATCCTGGCCTTGTCCAGCAGCGACTCGAACTTCTTTGTCGAAATCGGTTTGGTCAGAAAATCTGCCAGCTGTGACTTGGTTTCAGTATACTGCAGGTCGATAATCTTGTCTTTCACCTGTTCGCGCACAAAATGGTATCTGATGTCGATATGTTTCGCTCGACTTTGATAGCCGTCGTTCTTAGCGATAGCGATTGCACTCTGGTTGTCTTCGTGAATCTTGACAGCATAGTTAATCTGCACTTGCATCTCCTTGAGTAGACTTCTTGTCCACAGAACCTCCTGCACACATAAAGAAAGAGCCATATACTCTGCTTCTGCCGTGCTCAGTGCCACGCTCTGCTGCATCTTCGACTTGAAAATCACAGGTGCGCCATTAATCATGACAAAAACTCCCGAAATCGATCTGCGATTCCACTTGTTACTTGCCCAGTCTGCATCGGTGTACGCGCTCAGCTGAAGATTGCCTGAAACTCCTTCATAACAAATTCCTTTGCTCTGCGTCGTCTTCAGATATCGCAACACTCGAATCGCTGCATTCCAGTGCTCTTCATGTGGAAATTCCAAATGACGACTCAGCTGACATACTGTATACGCAATATCTGGTCGTGTGCCTGTTGCCACATACAACAACGACCCCACTAACGATCGATACGGTCGATTCTTCATTCTTGTGTCAGCTTTGTCCATCTTGACCATCGCTTGCCCTTCAACACTTGGATTTGACACTGCTTTCGCATCAACTTGATTAAATTTCTCGACCATTCTTGATATACACGATCCTTGACTGATCTTCAGACGTCGATTGTTGCGCAGGTACTTGACTTCGATTCCAAGAACGTATCGAACACCCCCTAGTATCTTCAACTGGAAACGACTTGATAGTTGAGCTGCCACATCTTCCATCACTCCAGTAGATTCAGCCCCAATTAGAAGGTCGTCCACATATAATGCAGCGTAAATCCACGAGCCCTTGGTCTCTTTGACGAAAATGCATGAGTCTGCCACGCATGAAGAGAACCCCATCTCCACAAACACACACGAAATTGTCTTGTACCATGTAGCGGCCGCTTGTTTCAGCCCATACAGACTGCGATTCAGCTTAAGCACTTGATTATGTTCTGCACGAACACCCAGAGGAGGGTATACGTATACCTCTTCTTCCAAAACGCCATACAGAAAAGCAGTGTCGACATCATATTGATGAATCAACATCCCCTTTTGACAGCACACCGCCAAAAACACCCGTATTGAGTTGAGGTTTGCCACAGGTGAATATGTCTCCATGTAGTCAACTCCATACGTCTGCCTGTAGCCAAGTGCTACAAGACGTGCCTTGTATCGAATAATCTCACCCAGCTCGTTTCGTTTGAGTGCGAACACCCACTTGGTTCCAATCACTTTCTGGTTTGGACGCTGTGTTTGAACAGCCCAGGTGTCCTTTTCCTCTAATGCCTTGAGCTCAGCTTGAATGGCCTTGTACCAATTATCACGACGAGGTGACTTAAGAGCTTCTTCGTATGTCGTTGGGGTCTCGAACGCTGCACATGCTTGCTCATACCCAATACGTAGTCTCTTTGTGCCTTTTTCTTGACACACTTCTGAGCCGTCATAAAAGTCCTCATCAGCACCATTCACTGGTATTAACGCTTGAGATTGTCCATGTTGAACCGATTCTAGTGGAACCATCGCGGTTTCTTGCGATGCTTGAATACTTGTCTGTCGACTTGGTCGTATCACCATCTGTCCTTGTCTTGACACTTCTTCAGCCGATTCTTGATCTTCTTCAATCATCGTCACATCATCAATTTCAAACATTGGATCGTCAGCATTGGAACCCACGTGTTCAGGCATCTTGCTACTGCATCTTGATGGTAGAGCCATCGTTGTTGTACGCCTGTCTTGCATGTGACTCTCTTCTTGAACACTGTGACTGTCCTCCATTGCTATATCCATGTCTTTCGTGACTCGTGGCTGTTCTAAATCGATAGAAACAGTGTCTTTGTCATGAACAGCGCGAAACTCTTGGTCACTTGATCTGCTGTAATGTTGCACGTACTGAAGTGGTGGTCTCTCATCGAATTTAGCCGATCTCGTGTGCGTCACCCTCTTGGCATCTTCATCCCATATTCGAAGCCCCTTGATTTGATCCGAGTAACCTAGAAAAATACATCGAATCGCCTTCTTGGTCATCTTGGTCCTGTTCGACTTGTCGACATGTGCATATCCCTTTGATCCAAATACACACATCTCGGAGAGGTCAGGCTTCTTCCCGAAGATGAACTCAAATGGAGTTTTAGTCGGGTGACTAGCACATGGAACTCGGTTTGTCACATAGACTGCCGTGTTCATCGCCTCAGCCCACCAAATTTTATCCACTTGCATATGGCTGAGCATTGCTCTGGCCCGCTCTGTCAGTGTCCTGTTCATGCGTTCGGCCAGCCCATTCTGTTGTGGCGAATAGGGTACCGTCGTCTGATGCATGATACCAGATTTTCGACATACATCGGAGAAACGTCTGTTGACGTATTCCGTCCCGTTGTCCGTCCTGATACACTTGATCTTCTTGGACAGTTGATTCTCCATAAGTGCCTTATACTCTATAAAGCGATCCGTCACTTCCGACTTGTTCTCAATATAGTATGCGACTATATATCTCGAATAATCATCAATAAAAGTCACGACAAATCTTGATCCTCCTCGAGACTTCGATTCCATAGGTCCCATGACATCACTGTGGACCAACTGCAACACTTCCTTGGTTTTCACGTGTCCGTATGGTGACTTCGGAAACGTCTTGACGGTTGCTTTACCCATGATGCACCCTTCGCAGATCTCGATATCATCTTCAACGCCTTGATTCTTCTTGATCTTTAATCCATTGACGCAACCTGCCATACCCTTGAGCATCTTCGTTGACAGGTGACCTAATCTTGCATGCCACACTTGTAGATCAGCCGCTCCTGATCCGTCACCTGATTCTTGCTCTTGAGATGTCTCTTCGCAAACGTTGGCTACCTCAGCCGGACTGCACTCTAAGACGTACATCTTGTTTCGTCTTGGTATTTGGGCAACGACTTCCGTGTTACTTCTGATCTGACAGCTCAGATCTGAGAAGATCACTTGTAGACCCCTCTTTGACAATGCCGATATTGACAGTAGCCTTCGGTCTAGGCCCGGCACCCATAGCGTTTCTTCGATCCTGATCACTTCACCAGTCTTGAGTTGCACGCGCACTGTCCCAACACCTTGCGCTTCCACTTCGCTGCCGTCTGCTATGGTGATCATGATCGGGTCCGTCAGTGAGTTTAAATTCGAAAACTCATTTCTGTCGGGACACATGTGGCTGCTTGCCCCACTGTCCAATAACCATCCAGCTGACGTCCGACTTGACGCAGTAAATGCTCTCTCTCTCTCCAGATCGCTCTGTCTCCACTTGTTCAGCCTTGCAATCTTGACGCTTGTGCCCATATTTGTTACATCGGTAACACCTTCCCGAGAACTTTTCACCTCTTGAACTTGATCTCCCCATATGTCTGCGCGGACCTTTCTTGTACTTGGAAGTGTGCGTACTTTTCAGTGCGATTTCTTGGTGTTCTGTCCTCGCCATTCCATCGTACTCCCGTCTCAGCATTTCCTTAGCGTGAAACAGTGTCATTCCGGGCATGTTCTCAATTATCTTGACGATGGGGTCATAGTCTCTCGTTAGACTACCCAATAGGATGACCAAATGCTCATCCTGTGAGATCTCTTGTCCCACAGCTTGCATAGTCATGCACAGCTCGTCAAATCTCAGGAAGTGATCCATGATGCTTCCTCCCTTGGCCAACTTGAACTCATGTAGTTGCCGCCGCAACTGCACACGATTGTGCATACTTTGCCGCAGGAAGAAAGTCTTCAGTATGTCCCATGCTTTTGCCGTTGTCTCTGCCGTGCGCACCATTGACTGAAGATTTGTGCTGATCATTGTGGACACAATCGCGAAGGCCTTCATGTCGTTGACTTTCCAAGTTGACGCGCTTGCGTCTCCTTCTTCTGGGGCCTTCATAGCGTCTAGGTGCTCTAGCAATCCCTTCTTTGCCAGCCTCATCCTTGCGTTGAACTCCCACACGAAGTAGTTATCTTCGCGGAGTATGTCGCCCGCATCCGGCGTAGTTGGGCTCATAACCTTTTGACTTTTGGCAACTGCCAAGAGCGAGTTGAGGTGGGAGAGCTTAGAAGAAGGTAAAATGGAAAGTGAATTATCATCTAGCTAGGTCCTTAGTTCGTCTCGTTGTACTACTCTAAGCCTATCGATATCGACTCTATAATATTAGTAACAAAACGATGAGTCGATCCCATCGTTACACACTATCACACAGTGTCGTCCATGACATATGGTCATTAGTATCAGTAACCAACACCATTACCAATACAATCGCATTTGCCTTGACCCCTCCCCGCAAAAACTCCTGATTCTCCATCGAAAATGTTTCGCCTTGTACTGCCACGTAGAAATACTACAGTCTCCCACTCAGCCAGTGGTTGTCTAGTGAGACGTCTCACGTCCTCGGCCAGTGCTTTGAGTAATGCGTTCAACTACATTATCGTAGGCGCTGGTTCGGCCGGCTGTGTGCTTGCTAACCGACTGAGTGCCGATGCAGGCAACAAAGTGCTCGTGATTGAAGCCGGACCGAGTGACCGCAACCGATGGGACTCTTTCCTCATCGACATGCCGGGAGCCATTCCAGTCAACCTGGCAGATGAACGCTACAACTGGAACTTTGTCACGGAACCGCAGGAGTTCCTCAATAATCGACGGATCGGATTCCCTCGTGGTCGAGTCCTTGGCGGCACCTCGTCCATCAATGCCATGGTTTACAGTCGGGGGCACGCGAAAACTTACGACGAGTGGCATGCAAAGGGCGTGAAAGGGTGGAGCTACGCTGACTGCCTACCATATTTCAAGCGGTCGCAGACACATCAATTGGGTGGAGATGACTACCGAGGCGGTGACGGACCTCTTCATGTCATGAGGAATACGAAGCAAGACCAACCTTTATTCCAAGTGTTTCTAAATGCTGCAGTGGAGGCAGGCTACCCTTTCACGGACGATGTCAATGGCTACCAACAAGAAGGTGTCGGCTGGCTCGATTTGACCATCCACAATGGCAAACGATGGAGCTCTTCAGCAGCGTTCCTTCATCCGGTAATCCACCGCGAAAACTTGACAGTCTTGTCGAACACATTGGTGAACAAGGTGATATTTAATGGCAAGAAGGCCGTTGGCGTCGAAGTGGAGAACACGAGAACCAAGACGGTGTCGAAGATCTCATCGGCAAACGAAGTGATCCTTTCAGGGGGTGTCGTCAACTCACCGCAGTTGCTCATGCTTTCTGGCGTTGGAGATGCTGACCACCTGAAAGAAGTTGGCGTGCCTCTCGTGCACCACTTGCCAGCGGTTGGAAAGAACATGGAGGACCATGTTGGCGTCGGTATGCACTTTGCTTGCAAGCAGCCGATTACGATGTACAATGCCTCCAAGTGGTATCCGCATAATGTGGTAAAGATTGGCTACGAGTGGATGACGTCAAAGACCGGCCCAGGCGCAACGCCCCACTGCGAAGTAGGCGGGTTCCTCCGAACGTACGTCAAGCTCATCACTTTTTTCGGCATGGTGTCCATGTAAACTGATTGTAAGCTTCTTTCACTCGTTGTGCACAGCCCATCCGGTACGCAGCAGCCAAACCTAGAACTCGTCTTCAGCCCTTGCGCTACTGACGAGCGCTGCCAGCTGCGTGAAGATATTGGTCACGCGATGAGTGGGCACATTTGCTCCATTCGAGGTTCCAAAAACGGCACTATCAAGTTGCGCAGCGCCAACCCTCGTGACCATCCCGTCATTGATCCCAACTACATGGCCGACGAAGACAGTCGAGTCACGCTCCGAGAGGGAGTTAAGTTGACTCGTGAGATCTTTGCTCAAAACGCGTTCAGGGAATACTGCGGCGCCGGTATCTCTCCTCGAGATGATGTCCGCTCGGACGAAGAGATCGATGCATGGCTTCGCAAATATGCTGGCTCCACATACCACGCGTCGTGTACGGCTCGCATGGGCGTGGACGAAAACTCGGTTGTAGATCTGCAAGCTCGTGTCCACGGGCTAGAAGGTCTTCGCATTGTGGACGCATCGATCATGCCGAGCATCGTGAGCGGCAACACGAATGGACCTGTGATCATGATCGCCGAGAAAGCTTCGGACATGATTCTGGAAAATCTGGCACTGCCGCGGTCGGACGTTCGCGTGCATGAACCTACCAACTAGGAAAACAGCCAGCGGGCTGCGGTGCTGTCAAGACTGGATCAGAAAGGAGCACATGCTTGAAACAATGGGCACTTGGTGTTGACTGACATTCCAAAGGTTGAACGTGAAGCAGGTACGAACTACCAGCGAGAGCTGTAGTGACGGCACAGACGAGAGCTCAAACGGTTGACCATAGAAAGCCGTGCACGACAGATCCAGGTGAAGACCGTGTGGCTCGTCAGCAGTAACAGACTCCAATATTCAGCTGTTCGATGTTGTGTTGTCTCGTGACTGCATCCAAATGTCAACGGTACCAAGTTGATGAGTTCAAGCGTGCGTCTAGGATCAATCTGTTCCACACTTTCTTAGCACGTCGGTAGTCGGGCTTCGTTGTATTGCCATCGTCAATGTGGACTTCTCACATACCATCCTGAAATGCAGACGATGTCCTGATCATGGGGTAGACACGTGTCTTTTATGCCATTGGTGGTCGCGCAAGTATCTTCATCCTGGTTGCCACTATTTTGTATTCCGTTTGCACAAGTGCGAGTGTTCTGTACTCCAAACGTCTCATCCAAGTCCATGTGTCGTTTCCACAACGGATCAGTATGTCCCTTCATCAAACGACTTGAGGTGGCTTGCAAGCGCATGTGGTCGACTCTTACCAAGCCAACTAACGCGCGCTTAAAAACACCCATGAAGATATTCCACGCTCGATCCAGCCGTTGACCGAATCGAAGCAACCGCTGCGCTCGCCTCTCTTCGACCGAGACCTCCAACAACTCGTTTTGTATCATAAGGTGCGCTCTGTTTGGTGCTTGACCCCGCGAAGTTACCGTGTCCTTCCTTGTCACTTTCACGAGTCTATTCGCCTCACACAATGCACACATTGCTTCCTTGCTGTGCGATGCCATGCCGCCACCGTCTTTTTCTTATCCACTTCTCCAGAATTCTTGAGCCAAGATGCCAACGCTGGGTGACCCAAGAGCTCATCAGACTAGCTACGATAGTAGCTAGTCTAGCGACAAGTGGTGAGACCCTGGTCTATCGAAATCTTCGTTATCATATCGATACTTTCAGCCGCTTTCGCATCGTCTTGAAACCCGTCGCTAGTACTTCCTTCCTTTTCTTGTGCAAGGTGATACTGCAGACTTGTCTGCGGATGAACGCAAGATCACCAACAGATGACGTGCTGGTCGTGTCGGTCATGTGGGTACCCACCACCTTCGCATCGGAACAATCTTCTTCATGATACGTGCAGATGCTTCGTTGCACGGACTCGTTCTTCAGTCACTTGATCTTCGCCTTTACCATTGCTTCTCGTCACAGGAAAGCCTTATTCAACAACGTACTCCGCCTCAACTTTTACATTTTGTCCGTCATCTGACGGGGCCGAACACTGTAGCATGATTGCAGCTTTACTGAGACGATCGCGATCAAAGCCCCGTCACCTTGAGGTTGCCACATGACCCCATGCCGTCCAGTTATGGCTGGTAGTACCACATGTTGTCCCTTCGCTGGTAGGCCTCGTGTTTTCAATTCCCCCTGAGCTCTGGTGGCTACTGTAGTGATACTGCATCCAGTGCCTCGACACATGTCATTTTCTCACCTATCGAGACAAATGAGAGAAGGGATGACCATTCCAGAAGAAGTCAAAAGCCGCCTTGATGACCACCATGTTATCCAGTCGTTCTGAGCAAAGTGTGTTACTCCAGTCTCACGATTGCCAGCTTAGGTGCTAGCATACGATGCGCTGCCACTTCAAGTGTGGACAGGTGAACACTTCTGCCACGACAGCCGTCTGCCAACTCATCCTATGTTGTAGACTAGCTTTTTGCAGCTGCTGGAGACCACGGAGCTGGTCAACCTGCTACTTCCATCTCCAAACCTAGCTGCTATCCTCATATCATGCGACTTCTAGTTGAGCAAAAAGCACTTGGACCGGTCTTTCCGCGATTACGAATGACAGGCGATCTTGTACACGTCCAGGTGTAGACTTTCCCTGTTAAACTACAGCAACGTCACGATGCAACAATTGTCACGGTACGATTGTAGATCCGTAGCGTCTCTCAGCCACGACGTTTGAACCGCTTCCTGATGCGACCCCGAGTCGTGTTCGGAATCGCTACTCGTGCTTATCAAGACCGTCGTTTCCAGTGAAGTCGATCTGGGTTAGTATGCAAAGCAAAGTAGCGGACATACTGACGCTCGAGATGCTTAGTTCCCTGCTGGACCGGCACAACTCGCTTGTGTCTGTTCCAACGACGTGACAATCACCTTGCACTGGAGCTCGACACGTCGGATTTCCGCTGTTATTAATATCAGTTGACGCCGTTCGACAATGCGTCGTCCTGCACGATTTGCCGTCACGTCTAAGCACCGAGCAACTGCTGGCAGCGTAGAGGTGGGATCGTCGTCACGTCGTGGTCTCGCACATGACCCGCTCGTGGCGCCCAGATGCCAGAGTGTTCGCCTGACCCCTCCTCCCGCTCTCTCATCGTCCATCGAGCAGCTCGGTCATTGCAAAGTTGACCTGCTCGAGAAGCAGCAAAGGACAGTCAAAGGGACTTTACACCAAGGAAAACCACCACCGCCGCCACCACCATCTCCTCCTCTTCTTCGATCATGCACCCCCGAACCTTTGGAGCGTTCCTGATTGTGCTCACGTTCGGCGCAACAGACGCGGCCGACAAGTGTGCGAGCAACGTGCTCATCAAGGCCTTTGAAGGGCTCAACGTGAACACCTTCCTCGTGTCGTGCATGACACAGAACAACTTCAGTGCCGCGCTCGACGGCTCCGTCGACCTCACGGCCGAGGACGCCGCGTCAGCCCCCGAGCAGGTCAAGACGATCTGCGCTTCGGACTCGTGCACGACCATTCTGTCGGCCCTCGTAGGCAGCGCGAATTTCAACCTCACCAACTGCACCGTCGGTGACGACCTCGTGCTAATGACGGAGATCAGTAACCTCCAGACCACGTGCACGGCGCTCTCGGCCCCGTCAGAGCCGAAAAACAAGGAAGGCGCGCCGAGTGAAGCGACGACCGACGCTCCTACCGACGCTCCTGTACCCGATATCCCTCCGACAACGACGATGACGGAACCTGCTCCTAACAACGACTCTACCCCTACTCTAACTGCTCCTAAGGACAGTCCTGAAGCTACTTCGGCCACGCCTCCTGTAGTACCGACCGCTTCTGCTGAGGTCCCAGCTCCAGTTGATGGTCCAGCCGTAGCCGTTCCGACAAAGGAGGCAGCTCCTGCAGATGAAAATGTGGACCAAGAGTCGGAAGAAGAGCTGAAAAAGCAGACGGTGGTGGTGAATGCGGTCAGCGGTCCTGTCGGTGACCATCCGCCTAGTGCCTACTGCGAGCACTAGAGAAGGGCATGGACAGACCGAATAATGGGTTCTGACGGACGTGCTCTTCGGTGTTGTTGCAGCATTTACATGTTTGGTTTTTACCACGCAAAAATTCATGGGTTACGATAATCGAGATGTGGTTATGTGTTGTCGATTGGCTTTATCTATTTCTATCTTCGTTATGGCGTCGTGTAAGTGGGACGGTGCGATTCGTTTCTGTATTAGAGCGCGTTAATCTACGTCCCGTTTCTACGACGTACCTCGTGTCGAGACTTTATCTATCTGCTTTCGTATTTTTTTTGACAACGTGATCAAGTCGTGCTTTAGAGCTCGGTGGTCGCGTTACCTTCCGACGACCTCTTTTATCCCACCCACTCACTCATGGAAGAAATGGTCAGGACGAAGCGGCCGCTAGAAGACGTGCCGGCCGATAATACCGTCAAACCAGGTGCGACCTGCTGCCACTATACACCAGTGACATACACAGTATCGTTTGTCTTACGCTTTGAGTGAGCAGCAGCGCACAAATTGTCAAAGAAGCAGCGTCGTCAGAATAAGCAGGTAAAGAGAGGTGCCTCTGACGATTCATTCTTTATCGTTTTCATCTTGTTGATTTCGTTCTATTTCTATTTCTATTTCTATTAGACACCAGCTCAGAAACTCGAGTACTACTATCGTAGTCAAGTGGAGACTTGTGCCCAGCAGAACGATGTTGCTCGAGTGTTGCAAGTGTACGAGCAGATGAAGAGCGAGGGTGTGAGTGTGGCTTCGTACATCTACAACGTGATCATCAACTTGTGCAGCAAGGCGGAAGACCCTGCAGATTGCAAAGCTGGAGCTTGCCAGGTGTTTGGAGAGATGAAGCTTGCCAATGTCGCTGCTGAGCAGACAAAGAAGAAAGCTGTGGCAGTGGGTGAACCCATTTACAGTGCAATGATGAAGCTCTGTAGTAAGGCGAGCGACTTTGTAGCGTGCGAGGCGCTTGTGGCCGAGATGGAGGAAGCAAAAGTGGTGCCCAAGCTGCGCACGTTCGGTCCGTTGCTACAAGCTCACAGCGATGCGGGCAACCTGGACAAGTGCATTTGGGTGCATGAGAAGCTTCTCTCGCACGAATTGGAGCTGAGGGAAGACGATTATGTGGCACTACTGCGCGTTTGTGTGAAGACGGGCCATGCTGAGCAGTTTTACGCTTTCCTGGACCGCTTTATTGACGAGATCTGGCAGCCAAGTCTATCAACGTGGGACGTACTGAAGGACTGGTTCAGCAGGTCTGTATAGTCGTCAGTGTGGCAGCACGTTGTTTTGTAACTCTTAGCTCGCCCGTTGGTGCTGTGTTTTCATTGCAGTGAGGCGGCGCAGGTAGATGGTCGCAAATGGACGATCACTGAGGGCACAGTGAACAAACAGGGCGTATGCTCTGTGACCAGCAACCAGCTGCAGTCGGTTGAGCTGTCACCTGAGCTTGATGAGGAACTTCTCGTCAAGGTGCGTGTTGGGATAGTGACAACAAAATGAGAAGTCGAGTGTGTGGTCCGTTTGCAACCACGATCGAGCGTAAGTCAACGAGATCTGACCGCTGATGTATTTCTTGGATTGTTTTGATAGATCGAGAAGCTCGTGCGCACGGATGAGAAACGCATCGCGCAATGGGACGACTTTAAGCAGTGGCTGGAGAAGTATGGTCCGTTTGACGTGCTGATTGACGCCGCCAATGTCGGTTATTGTAACCAGAACTTTCAAGGGTGGGTGCACTGAGTAGACGCTACCTATGTATGTTGTGGTTGTCGAACGTAGCTTTTGCTTCTACATATTGATCTCATCGACGAATCTGACGCGGCGACTTGATTCGAATATGTATGTGACCCTTTAGCGGCGGCTTTGACTACGGACAGATCAAGCTCATGGTGCAGCACTACGAGGCAAAGGGCAAAAAAGTGCTCATTGTGCTACACGAGCGTCGCATCTCAGACGAGCAGGTACCGGTCAAGCACCGGGCGCAGATTGTCCGGTGGGGTGTGAGCCACAGCATGTTCAATTGTCAATCAGGCAACAACGACGACTGGTACTGGCTCTACGCAGCGGTGAAGCTCGGTAAGCGTACGCTCTTGGTCACAAATGACGAGATGCGCGACCACCACTTTCAAATGATCCACAACCGCGCATTCGCGCGCTGGAAGGAGCGACACCAGGTTCGCTACCAAGTGCATGGACGCCGGGTGACGGTCGATGAACCGTTGCCGTACTCGGAACGGCCGCAACGTGTCGGCGACGTTTGGCATTTCCCATCTCGGGAACTCCCGGATCAAGTCTCAGACAGCGATAGACGCTGGTTGTGTGTCGAATTGCAACAGACCGCGTAGCAATACGCGCGTCTCAAATAGTGACTACTGCGGTGTCGTGGCACGCACAAAACCAGGTCGTGTTACCAGACGGAGGCTGGGCTTGATACTGTCGCATGTCAGTCATCGCAAGTTACATGCACGACCATTGTATTGCCCATTGGCTGTACGTGAAATGAGCGGAAAGATGATGATGGCGTCCGGGTCGCCATCATAGTTTGACTGAATTTACAAGTATGCAGCAAGAAACTACTTCGATGCAACCGCGGGTGGATAAATAAATCGAGACGAGATGGATCCCGACTAAACTTCGGATTCGTTCGGGCACTCGATTTCGACGCTGCAACAACCACTTGACAACGGTTCATCTCGAGATGTTGTTCGTACCTGGCAACTTTAGACATGAAAGCTGAAGGTAGTATGATTCAGTTCACGTCTGCAGTCTGTGTATTAACAAACAAGGCTGTCATTCGCTGAAACAGAAGGTCTTGTCGCGTGCGAGACACACCTCTTTCTGTCCGCATTGAGTTTTGCATAGAAAAGCCAAAAGAAGGCAAAAATGGGTGAAAACCCCGTCCATAGGCGTCAAATGTCCGGAAAGTGGTACGCTCAGGTACACGTCTGGCAGGGAGCGCTACGAGGACAAGGTCCACAAAGGTGTGAAGAGGTCAATATTTGGGTCATGGTTTGTGCTGACTTTCATTCGTATGGGAACGAGCTCAACTGGCTAGGAAGGAGAATGACATATGGATAGAGCGAGTAAACTCGCTTTCATGTCTTTACGTTTGTACCGTAACGCAGCGACTGGCTCATTTATCCATGTTCCCGTCGAGAATAACGCACGATATTGCAGCTCGAGTGCTAAAAAAGAGCGTCAAAATACAGCTCGCGCGCGCGCATCTGTAGCTGGGAAAGACGTCCCTTTCTTTGTCGTAGCCACTTCGTCTTTCATTTTTCCGTCCTTTTCTCCACCCGGCCGCTTTATTTCTATCGGCTGAGGCGCGCGCAATATGGGACGCGATGACCTCGTTTCGCACTGATACAAACCGCAAGCGAAAAATCCGCTTTTCGCTCGCGACCCGCTGACTAACTGACTGCCTCTCTTGAAGGGAACGACGGACAGGCCAGGCTTTTTCCCTCCGGCTGACCCGATACTGGAAACAAGCTTAAAACACGTCGGCCGCGCCCGAGCATTTCGTACCGCTTCTTCGCCTCCATTTTCAGACTCCCTACCCCGTGCGGTCCATCCTCTCGGCTCGTGTGACGGCGTCCAGACCAGACACACACGTCCAGCAGCGAGAGCGAAGCGGCCACCAACACACCTCCTCTTGTACGCCCCCATCATGGGCAACTCGTGCACCCGCAACAGCGAAGTAAGCTTCCGTAAGAGCTCCCTCCTGCAGTCGCGCCGTTGTAACACTGTGTCCCCCCTCCCTCTCCTTTGTCTCTGTTGCAGTCCCAAGTCGTGTTGACCTCCAACGGCGTGATCCTACAGAACCGACAGCCGACCCAAGAACGCGGTCGCTGGTCCGCCCCTAACGTCGAGAGCGTCGACCTCGACACGCTCCTCGAAGCGCCGTCGCCGTCCAAGAAGAACGGGACCCACCACCGTCGACGCAAAAAGTACGCCCCCCTCTCTCCCTCTTCTCTCTCTCTCTTTATGTGATGCAGCTTTCTCTAACACTTGTGCTCCTCTCTGCTCCTTGCTGCTGCTCTTTCCTCTTCAGACGCCAATCGCTCTCGGAGCGGTTCCATGCCCCGCGTCACCACGTTGCCGCTGCTGGTCGCCCCCCTCGAGCTCCTTCACTCGACGAGCCAAATCCGTTGAACAGGTCGCGAGCGCATCGCAGTCACACGGACGCGCGTCCCGTCGCGATGCTCCGAGAGGAAGTGGCTCCTGTGTACCACTCGTACGAGGACCCGGGGTACCTCGGAGGGGGTGACCCGATCGAGCTGCAGCCGTTTGATGCCGACTGCATCCTGGGGAGTCCTATTAACTCGCCGTCTGTGATCCACGCGCGGTGGGGGGAACCCGTGGACGACCCGGACGAGGAAAACCTGTGTACCGACTTCACGCCGAACCCGTTCAAACTCGGCTTTTGTATCAATTGTATGAAGCAGCATGACGTCAAGGAGGACGGGGAAGTGGCGTTGAGGAAAGAGTATAAGCGCATTGCGCGCCCGACGATCTCGAGGACAGCAGCCAACGCGCTAGAGCAGCCAAGTGCCATTCCTATTGCGAGGAGCTCAATCACGATGATGTCGGAAGGTCGCGAGAGTGACATTGACTTGGCCCAGCTGTTGGCTCAGAGGAGAGACGTGTTGATGCGGCTGGATAAGCTTGGCAAGCAAAAGACGAAACTCCAGAGTCAACAGCATAAAGGACAGAGCGCGCTCGGACGCCGGACGGGTGAGTTGTTACGCCGTTTCATTCGAAAGGGTCTAGCTGCGTTCTCTAACGCTGCTTTTGTCTGTTCGTGCTTTAGATCGTCACACAACTATTAATTTCGGCGACAACCCACGCAGCTCTTTGCGACGGATGGGCTCCCGGCCACCCAAATCGGGTCCCATTGTTACGTACAGTACGTCCATCAACTTGGCACCGCAGCCGGCCTCTGCACGTGCGTTCGGTGTGTCCAAGAGCGTGAATATGGTCTCACGTCTATATGACGACGAAGAGCCCGCGCAAAACGTATGGCTATAGATAGAGAAGGAGCGATGCGGCTTGAACGAGCTGCCAACATTTTGATCTATGAATCCACCGCTTGGGGCGCCGCGGACGAAAGCTGGAGCCCCCTGTACCAGTAGCTTGGTGTTGCAAGACGATGTGTGCAATTGACGAGTGCAGTCAAGAATGAAGGGTGTCGAGGATGTTGTGACTAGTCAGTGAGCGCGCGACAGGAGCTCAGAAGCCTCCGAGATGAAGGAGAGAAGCAGCTTTTGAGCTGCTGCGACCTCAGGAATGGCACCCTCAGCACGACGTGATTAATTATATAATATGAGCAACCGTAGTATTACTCCATTGCCGTCCAGCAGGCGGATGAGTATTGAGTAATGTCCTCACTTCTCGAAGAGCGTGACCAGTTTAGATGCACAAGACGGTATGAAGACATACCTACCACCCGATTCATGACAACATTTGAGCAGGACAATGATACATTGGACTGTTTACCTACTGTGTGATGCAGTACCGTGTTGATTACTTGTTGGCTTTACAACGCTGGGTGCTGTTATTTCGGTGCCACTTAGTGGAGCCCGTCGTGCTCGCTGCAAACGTCGTACAGCGTATCAAAGGCCACCTAGTACGCTCCAATACACCGAACCTTCTTGCCATGTGTGCGATGGCCAAGCATTCAGATGCAACACAAGCTACTAGACGTTCTTTGATGTCGAAAGACGCCACTTTTCACTAGTCGACGAAGGGGTTCCTGGCAGCTGACGACGCAGGAGGATATGATCATGCATTTGCGCGGCAACTTTGCACGCGTCATTGAACAGCTCCTTCCAGCGCTCGAAAGTCTCATGAGCGTAGAGATGTGGTACATGACACAACCCGTTGCTACCACTAGATGAGAGATACAAGGTCCCTCCCTTTTTGGCTACTTCATCACCCCAAACCATTGGGCTCATGCTGCATCCGCGGCTGAAGCAGTCTGGACTCCTTAGCGTACAACAGTTGTCTCTTCATTTGCAAAGCGGTGCTGGATACCAACGGGGTCTCTCGTAGATGACGTACAGGCAGCGGTAAAGGCGTGATCCATTGGAAATGTCCTCTCGAGCTGCCGTCGGAGCGACTATCATTACAACAACTCACCACTGGGCCAGCAGTTTTGACCGACACAAATACACCTAACTTGTGTCCGGCGTGTTGTCGGATGGCCTACACACCAGTCATTAGCTGCAGGCTGGCACTCTTTCTCCAGACTTGCCTATTTTACCGGAAGCTCTTAAGGTTCACTGCGATGCGGATGATCTCGCTTCTACCTGGCGCTCTTTGCCTACTCGAGTCTAGTTTTTATCGCCCGACTACGCGCGGGTTCGAGCAACAACATCTTGCCCGATTCGCCAAGGCGTTCCGTGCTCGATTCGACCGAGCGGGCTCCAGGAGAGCGTGGAATCCACACGTATCGTATACAGCTGCTCGTTTCGTGCGTGGCAGATAGTGGCCAGAAAACTCAAGTCGCCCCACAATCGTTGGACGTTGCGCCATCGTGGGCGACGCTCTATGCAATTCTTGAACTTCAAGCATTACTCCGTGGCGATCGCACAGTCAGTTGCCGCACGCTTGTGTGCCCTTTCTTCCAGGAAGGATCTGGCCAGTCGCCGCTTTTCCAGGCACTTTGAGCGCGGCTTCGTTGATCACGCGAAGAGTGAGCAGGTGCAAGTGGTAGACTGAATTGTCAGAAGATGGAGGGCGGGGAGTGGGGTCTTGGTCTAGTCGTGACGCTTGTCCTGAATACCTTCAGTCTTCCAAGATACATCGACGAAACAAATAGCAACTTACAACGCAGCCATGGAGCTCAGCACGCTGATTTTACGGGTGCCATATGCTTGAAATGCCGCGCTGACTACCGACAAGTTGAAACCCTATGGCGGGTGGCCACGGAAAGTGGCTGAAGAGGATTCCAAGTGAGTCTGGCAAGTTGACAAAGAGATCTGCAAAGATTTTGGCTTGTCAAGCTACGGCGTAGTCGATGGCTAGTTTCAACTAGTTGCGCATTCTGTTTCTGCTGCGAACAGTGCACTACATCACTCGCCATGCAGTGCGCTTTGATGGGGTTGATGCCACTGCTGCTGCGAGATCTACTAAGGGAGGCGGTGGTGGTACTGGTGATGGTTGAGTCATCGCTTTGGCTACCACCACAGCTCCAACCTGTTTGTGCTATACCCAACGCTTTAGAGGTGAACTGGAGATAGTGGCATGCGTCGTGCAATGTGGCTCAAGGATTGCGCTGTATCCCCCTATTCTACCAAAGAAACGCTCTAGGTCAACACTGGAGCCGGTCGTCCTTGCCTTGTGTCAAAAAGGGTCAGGCAGGAACTTCATCACGTCACCTTTCGCTATTTGTGACTGACGCTTGCGAAACATCCCACAACTTATGCAGATCTTAGAAACGAGTGTGCGCTATTTATCGACACAACGGTATTTCACAACAGCTCGCGCTATCTCAGAATACACAAATACAGACCCGTAAAAGCAAAAGCTATCAGTCCAGTAGTGCGCCCATTACAGCCGGGGTGGCAATTTAAGACCAAGGGTTACGTAGGTGAGTGTGTGAGAATATCCACTGTATTTATTCGCCCGCACGCTAAAATCCCATTCTTTCCCAGCTGAGCGCAACTTCTATTTCTATTCAAAATCCAAAACGTGCGACTTTGCTACCGATGTTCTAATCGGCACGGTATCGTAATTCCAGTATCACGCATTTTATCTACATGAATACAGGATCGTTTCGAGCCTATACGGCGCCACTTTACCTTACGCTCGTACCAGTTAACAGTGTAGTCACGTCAGTTTGCCAGTACATGCAGATACACACACAGCTAGGCGATACCTACATCTCCCCTTCCCTCGACTGAACAATAAACCATCAAACTGGCCGTACACATACAAAGACCTGGTGCAAAGTGAGTGAGCACAATACAAGTCCTAAGCTCAAGAAGGCTCCATTCCCATTTCCACTGGACTCCCAGTACCATTCTAAACCGTCCCTAACGAGAAAAAAGCACCATTATGGGTCAGCTGCCTGCATACATGTCCAAAATGACCTGGTAGAGAACACCAGCTTCCCCGTAGCAAAAGCCAATGTATCAATCCTTCTCGTACGTTGACTCACAAGAGACGCTTGAAGTCGGCAATAGCACGATGGATCCCCGCCTCTTCGGTTTCCAATGCGACCTTCTTTGCGGCATCAGCCTCCCGCACTGAATCCGGCACCTTTGTCTCGTAGTCATCACAGCTCATCTTCTTCATCAAACTAGCCAAAGACGGCGCAATCTTTGTCAACTTCGTCTCGAGCTTGGTGATCTCATTGGCAAAGTCCACGAGACCAGCAAGCCGCACGAAAATCTGCACCTTATCGTTGACACTGTGCACAGCACATCCCTCTGGTGCTTCTTCCTCCACAAGGCACTTCGACTCGCCAGCCTTGGCCAATGTAGCAAAGTCATCCAACTGCGCTTCGATCACCGCCTTCACGTCGTTGTCAATGCATTTGATGAAAAACTGCGGACGCACATTGTTCGCGAGTCCGTACTCGGCACGGACGGATCGAGCAGCGTGAATCACGTCCTTCACAAGCTCCATGTTCGTTTCGACATCGGAATTCGTCCATCCCTCCACAGGTAACGGGTACGATGCAATCGTGATGCTGGCAGTAGGGCGTTTGCCTGGTAGACGCTGCCACAACTCCTCCGTCACAAACGGCATGCACGGGTGAAGCAGGCGTAGACCGAACTCCAGACACACGTACAACGTCTGTTGGGCCGTGAGCTTCGCTTCCGCATTGTCACCAGCAATCACGGGCTTTGTGAGCTCAAGGTACACATCGCAGAGGTCGTAGAGCCAAAAGGTGTACAGGGCGTTTGTCAGCTCGCCAAACTCGTACGCGGCGAACGAGTCATTACAGACCTTGATTGCGTGGTTCAAGCGACTCAGGATGTAGCGGTCACGAGAGCTTACCACTGCATTGGACATCACCGTGTCAGCGACGTTTTCAGCTGCTGCAAACCCACCCTCGAGGTTGGACATGGCAAACCGCACCGCGTTCCACAGCTTGTTGCAAAAGTTGCGATAGCCAACGAGACGGCCAATATCCAGGTTAATGTCGCGGCCTTGTTGCGTGTATGCTAGCAGACCGAAACGCAGCGCGTCGGCACCGCACTCTGGAATACCCTGCGGGAAATCCAGCTTTTGACCCTTCTTGGCTTTCTCGACTTCCTTTGCCGGCAGGTTACCGCTCTCGAGCTTCTTGAACAAGTCGTCGAGAGAGCACCCAGCAATGATTTCGAGCGGATCGACAACGTTGCCGAGGCTCTTGGACATTTTGCGGCCGTACTTGTCACGCACCATCGAGTGCAGATAAATCGTCTTGAACGGCAGCTTACCTGTAAGCTTCTGGCCCATGAAAACCATACGCGCCACCCAGAAAAACAAAATGTCATAGCCCGTCTCGAGCAGGTCCGTCGGGTAGAAGTTCTCAACATCGCCCGTCTTGTCAGGCCAGCCAAACACCGCAAACGGGAACAGACCCGCACTCACCCACGTGTCAAGAACATCTTCATCCTGCTCTAACTCGATCTGGTCTTCAGCTACACCGAGCTTCTTCGATGCTTTCTGACGCGCGTCTTCTTCACTAGTGCCTGCCAACCAGCGGTTGCTAGCATCGTCCGAGTTCTTGTCAATAAACGACTCGCCCTTGATGCGAGCAAAGTAAGCCGGGATACGGTGCCCCCACCACAATTGACGCGAGATACACCAGTCACGGATATTCTCCAACCAGCGAAACCACGTCTTCTCGTGCGTTTCAGGCAGAATCGTCAGCTCTTTGTTCGTGACAGCAGCCATGGCATCTTTCGCCATCTGGTCGCAATTGACAAACCACTGCGGCTTTACAAGCGGTTCAATGATATCTCCCGAGCGTGAACAAACACCAAGACGCATCTTGTTATCTACTTTGCCATGATACAGTCCTTTCGCTTCGAGCGCCTTCTCGACAGCAATACGCGCGTCGTAACGCATCATACCAGCAAATTCGCCGCCATTCTCGTTAATCGCCCCGTCGTCCGTGAGTACATTGATGAACTCGAGGTTGTTCCGCTTTCCACACTCATAATCGTTCGGGTCATGAGCCGGCGTGATCTTCACAGCACCTGTACCAAAGGTCATGTCCACCAGAATAGAGTCTAGCACAATAGGAATGCGACGACCATTGAACGGGTGGATCACGTGCTTTCCATGCAAATGCTTGTATCGCGAATCTTCCGGGTGCACTGCTACACCCGAGTCCCCCAGCATAGTCTCAAGTCGCGTCGTCGCAACGATCACCTGCTCATCGGGTGCTCCCTCCACCGGGTAGCCAAACGACGTGAGCACGCCAAACTCATACTTGCGGTCCACATTGTGTCCAGGAACAGCCATCTTGGTGCGTTTCTCAATGTCAATGTAGTCCACTTCGATCTCCGACAACGCCGTCTTGAGCTTGCAGCTCCAGTTGATCATCCTCGTAGCTCGGTAGATCAGTCCGTCCTCCCAGAGCTGGCAAAACGCATGACGCACAGCGTGACTGCACTTGTCGTCCATTGAAAAGTACTGCCGGTCCCAATCCACCGAGCACCCGACGCTGCGGAACTGGTGGTGGATGCGACTCTCGTACTGGTTCTTCCAGTCCCACACGCGCTGGAGAAACGCGTCTCGACCAATGTCATGGCGACTCTTGCCTTCTTCTTTCAGCAGCCGTTTCTCCACGACCGACTGGGTTGCAATGCCAGCGTGATCAGTACCAGGCACCCACAGCGTGGCGTGGCCCAACATCCGATGCCAACGGGTAAGTGCGTCCTGAATCGCTACTGTTAGAGCGTGACCCAAGTGAAGCGATCCCGTAACATTAGGGGGAGGGATGACCATGACAAAGCGCTCGTCCGGCTTAGCCTGCTGGATCTTGTCGTCGTCACACGAGAAAAAGCCCGAAGCTTCCCACCAATCCTGCCACGCCGCCTCCACAGCAACAGGGTGGTAGGCCGCCAGCATCGGTTCGGTCTGTACATCTTTCTTCTGTCCCTTGGGCGTCTTATTAACAAACGGCTCGATCGTGGTCGTACTCGCGGCTTTCCGGGTCTTCTTGGAATCGCTCTTGGGCGCCCAGCGGTTCGGATCTTTTTCCTTCTTGGGCTTTGCCCCAGCAGCGCCACTGGCCTCGGCCCGCATGGCCTTTTTCATGGCGTTCTTGCTCCATGTCTTGCCAGGGGCGAGCGGGGCGTCGCTGCTTGGTGAGGGGGCGGTCGAGTCGGCCATTTGAAAAGATGCCATTGAAATGGTTGGTTGGCGTGCGACTTGAAGTGCTGACTGGGAAACCGTATACGGTGAGGCAGCGATGCGAGATCGTGGTACAGAGAGGACGGTCGTGTGGGCTGGAAAAACCTCGTATATTTAATACCATCGTGTGGATCTTAGGTGAATGCACACACATGTTCTACATTCGCCGGATGGGCGGATACACAAATAGTGGGCGTTCTCCTGGTCGCTACTTGCTATCTGGCTGAATTTAGCAGCTAGTCGCCAACCTACTACTAGCGGTCTCCTTGTCTTCTCTCTTGATAGCGAGTTCCATCATCTACTGTCTAGCGAATAATAGCAAAAAGCATCTGCATCGTCTACAAAAGACTTGGCAACATTCTTGTATGTCTTCAGCTACTTTAATCATAGGAACTCGCATCATCAACCACACTCTGTGTACTGCTCCTTTTTTCCGAATGACTACAACTGCCACGAACGTAGCTGCCAACCCGACGACAGACGACGACCAATCAAAGTCGGCAGCATATCGCTCACGTGCTCCACACATCAATGATGTCATCCGTCCTCTTCCGTTCTTGTCGTATAAAAACGTGTCTCCCACTTAAGTAGCCGATCGATTCCTGTCCTAGATCCCTAGGAAGTTCAACGACATCCAATCTAGGACTAGCTGGGTTTGCAAAAACAAGCATCATTTACAGCCGACCTGCACGATCTACTGCAGTATCTCTTTAGCATGGTACTCCCGGTATTCATCATCGGCACAGCGAGTGTGGGGGTGGCCACTGGCTACAGCATGTACCAGGCTGGTACGGCACTGGCATGTCCATCCTCGATCAATAGGCCCCCACTTAAGAGCACTAGCAGCCTCATGGCGGGCGGTATCTCAGCAATAGCTGCATACTCGATCCAAGTGCGAGTTCTTAACCGCTACGTGTCAAAATCATTGACCTACGAAGTTCCCAAGAACGTGACAACCTGGAGCTTCCGTGACTTTCTGCGCATCGCAGGACCGCTCGTGGCTCCTCGTGTAGCGATGTTTTCGACGTCAGCGGCGCTCATGGGTTTTGTGTCTACGAAGGTAGATCTGTCTCGAAATCAAGAGAAGTGATGGGATCAGACTGGAAGGTATGAAGAAGAGGCTGACACTGCTGCAGTGGCTCCAGTACTGTAATCCAATCTAGTTTCTGTAGTGGTGATATCCAAGACAACAAGGCAAGAAGAAGACCTTTGCACGTCTATTACTCGGCATTACGTCACCGGACTAGCTGGGTTTTGAGGTCAGGTGCATGCAGTAGTACAAAATGACTGAGTGTGATGAAACACTACATTATAGTTGTTCTGGTGTTGTGACTGGTTCGCCATAGCTACATTCACGTAGGCTAAACAGTTTGTCAGTTACCCGGATCTCGAGGCGCCATGTATTTGCCCCGTCAACTCGTGACACGAGAACACATGCTCAGTGTTGGTAACTTAATGTGTTTGCTGGGCATGAACGAGTTGCAAACTTTGCATCCCAACTAGTCTCGATACATTGGCCTGACTCTTCTGCATGGGCCACCATCTAAGCTTGCAGGCAATGCTCGAAGTACATGTCTGTGTGCTGCACGCTTTCGTTTGACCGAGCACAATTGTCTCACATCTATGCTTGCGTGTGTGGGGAAGTGTCAATATCTGTTGAACAAGAGCTTGCGTCACTGGCGAGCTAGTGAAATCTCGTGTCATTGTTGGGATTTCCGGTTCGCAAACTTGGCACGTGCAGCAAAAGATAGATGCATCTTGAATTTCGTAAAGCCCACTACCGAATTAATCGAACGCAAGCAGAGAATCACAAAAACCTGCTAGGTTGATATCCATAGAGCTTGCGGGACAGTGTCGAGAGAAAAGCGATTTCGTTTTTACCAACTTGTTTATGTATCCAACCGAGGCTGGCATGTGTGGGTTCGCCAGTGTGGCGGAGCAACTTATCGCTTCTTAACAGAAGAAGTCTTGGACTCAAAGAGCCTCTTAGTTATAACAAACTAATAACGACGTACAGCCGTTCAAGCGCACAAGCTTAACAATCCCATTTCCAAAGAGGTTACGATTTACAGAATCACACAGGAACTAGTCACTACTAGTTAAACAAGAGTAAGTGCCTTCACAAGAATAATGTGCTTAACAACACACTACGCCTTTACAAGGCACTTGTATACAACGATTCAAAAGGGGAACTGAACTTAATTTTTCTTGAACTACGGTAATAAAGCCATAAAACCTTGTCTACCTCCTACATAACAGGGTTTTATCTAAGAAGACTGATGATGTAAACACCTGCAGGACTAACTCTACTTACGATCCTATCACAAAAGTCTTATCCCGTATCCCTACCCGATAAGGTGCGGTATCACCGTAAGTACATGGTACCAAGACTGTACCACTCAGATTCACCTATCTTTACTTGGTGCGGATGCACAACATAACCGGTTCAAGAACCGCGTGTAACCCTGTGGCACCCTCCTCCACCAAACTGTCCAATCCCTTGTGTCTACAATCTTCTACTTCTCTTTGAGGTCTCAAAGCTCTGGTCCTGACCATCTTGTTCACAACACAGCTCAAAATGACTGAGTCAAAGCTTTCGTCCAATACCCTTAAGAATTCCTCGAAGAGGGTATTGTGGTGGAGTCGATCTCACA